CGATATTCATGATGATGATGATGATGATGATGATGATGATGATGATGATGATGATGATGATGATGATGATGATGACGATGCTACCGATGCTGATTAGTATGCTGCTGATAATGAGGATGATGATGATGATGCTGCAGCTGATGCTGATGGAGAGGGTGACTAGGAAAAGGAGGAGGCGGCGGAGGAGGAGGAGGAGGGCGAGTAGGAGGACGATCGGGGAGGAGGGCGGCGAGCAGGTGGAGGAGGAGTTGGGTGAGGAAGCGGGTGACGAGGAGGATGAGGAGGGGGAGGAGGAGGAGGAGGCTGCGTAGGAGGAGGAGGAGGAGGAGGAGGAGGAGGAGGAGGAGACGGAGGAGGAACAGGAGGCGGTGGGGGATGATGGGGGAGGAGGAGTAGGATGACGATGACGATGACGATGATGGCGTTGATGATGGTGCTGACGATGATACTGTTATTGATGGTGCGGATGATGCTGATCTTGATACTAATGTTGATGCTGCTGATGATGATGAGGAGGATGAATATTCAAATGATCAGATGATGATGGTGACTATGCTGCTGCTGATGCTGATGATGCTGATGCTGCCAATGATGATGCTGGTGATGCTGATTCTGATAATGCTGCTGATGATGTTAATGACGTTGTTGATGATGATTCAGATGATTATGCTGCCGCTGCCGATTATGATGAACGCGGTGGCGACGAGGATGATGATGATGCTGATACTGCTGACGCTGGTACTGATGCTGCTGATGATGGTGATGGTGCGGATGCTGACGCAGATGGTGATGATCATGATGATGTTGATGCTGATGATGATGCTGCTGTTGATGCTGCGCATGATGGAGATCCTGCTGATGCTGATGGTGATGCTGTCTCTGATAGTGACGCAGATGATGATGCTGCTGATGATGATGAGGATGATGATGAGAATGCGGATGCTGCTGATAATGATGATTATGATGGTGATGCTGATACTGGCGATGCTGCTGATTATGCTAACGCTGATGCTGATGATGATGCTGCTGATGATGGTGATGATGCTGACAATGCTGCTGCTGATGCTTTTGATGGTACTGACGATGCTGCTGCCGCTGATGATGATGATGATGCTGATGTTGATTATGCTGGTTATGATGACGGGGGAGCTGCTGCTGATGCTTATAGTGATGATGGTGATGATGATAATGATGGTGCTGCTGATGACGATGCGGATGATGATGATGATGATGAGGATGCTGATGCTGCTGATGATGATGATTCTGATCGTGATGCTGATATTAGCGATGCTGTTGATTATGCTAACGCTGATGCTGATGCTGATGCTGCTGATACTGGTGATGCTGATGATGACAATGCTGCTGGTGATGCTTTTGATGGTACTGGCGATGCTGCTGCTGCCGCTGATGATGATGATGATGATGATGATGATGATGCTGATGCTGATTCTGATGGCCATGATGACGGGGGAGCCGCTGCTGATGCTAATAGTGATCATGGTGATGGTAATAATGATGACGCTGCTGATGATGCTGAAGATGCTGCTGCTGCTAATGCTGATGATGCTGGAGGGGATGGTGAGGAGGAGGAGGAGGCGTTGGGTGATGCTGCTGATGATGCTGATGGTGATGCTGATGATGATGCTGACGATGATGCTGAAGCTACGGCTGCTGATGCTGCTGACGATGTTGATGCTGATGATGATGATGATGATGATGCTGATACTGATGATGATGTCTATGATGATCATGATGATGATGGTGTTGTTGATGCTGCTGATGATCCTGATGATGCTGATTAATATGCTGATCATGGTGACGATGATGATGCTGCTGATGATGGTACTGATGTGTTTTTTGATGCTGAGTGTGTTGATGATGTTGCTGCTGTTGGTGATGAATATGATGGTTGTGATTGTCATGACGATGATGCTTGTGACGATGATGATGCTGATCATGACGATGATGATGAGGGTGAGGAAGTGGACGATTGTGATTATGATGCTGATGCTGATGCTGATTATGCCTCTGAGGATGCTGATGCTGATGTTGATGCCGATGCTGATGCTGATGCTGATGCTGCTGCTGATGCTGATGCTGGTGCTGGTATTGATGCTTCTGCTGATGATGATGATGAGGATGCTGGTGATGACGATGATGATTATGTTTTGATGATGATGATAATGCTGCTGTGGATGATGATGCTGATGATGACCATGATGGTCATGATGTTGATGCCTTCGACGATGATGCTGATGATGGTGATGCTGATGATGATTATGGTGATGATGCTGTTGATGTGGATGATGACGAGAAGGAGGAGGAAGAGGAGGAGGAGACCCGCTTGTTTTCATTGCTCAAGTGTCCGAGGGGGGCGTCGCGGCGCCTGCAGTGGCCGAAGGCGTGGCGCAGAACATGGGAGCCAGTGTTGCAGCCCTCTTCGTCGACGCTGCCCAGACGGATCCGCGAGCGAGGCTTTCACGCGCTGGGCGGCTTCGTTTTGGGCGCGGTCAGACGTTAGGCAACGCGATAGCACCGTCGGCCCATCGAGTCCAGCCTGACCCGTGCGGGCACCTGCGTTGCGCAGCAGGTTTTCTCCAAGCCGCGCCATCGTGTTCGATTTGCTGTGTGGCAGCAGGAGGCGCGGCATATGTTTTAGCCTCGGTGTGTGCCACATCACACAAATCTAGACACAGCATCTGCCTGCTAATCACATCTGTCCACGCCATGTCCACGCCATGCACCAAGCTAGCTGCGTCACCCAGAATTGCCAGGCCGCTCGTCGATGGGGCAATTTTGCATCCACGCGACCCAGTTCGGTGAAACGGCCGGTTACTTGTACTACGCGCTGTCTGGCAAGTTGGGCAGGATGAGTACCCTTTGACCTTGTTGAAAGGTTCAGCACGGAATGAACTTATGCTGATTTCGGACTGGCTCGCCACATGCTGATACTCATACGAGGTAGTGAGTCCTGTCTCCAAGTGCAAGAAAATCAGAAGAGGATTTTTAGGTTGATGCCCCAACGGGAAGAATATTCCCCTCTTCCTCCTCCCTCCTCCTCCTCCTCCTTCTCCTCCTCCTCCTCCTTCTCCTCCTCCTCCTCCTCCTCCTCCTCCTCCTCCTCCTCCTCTCCCTTCTCTTGCAGATCGTACAGCCCTAAGGTCCGCCTGCACGCAGCTCGACCTTGCCACTCTTCGGGTCCGCTGCATCAAATTCGGCCGCCGTGCCCCAGCGTAATCCCCCGAGTCAGCTCCTGGACGGGCCCTCTGACCCACGAGGCCTCCTCGCCCTCTTCGCCCTTCCTCCCTCCCACCTGGACCGCCCTTGTGGCTGCCTCGCCGTCTCGCTGTACACACTCGCACTTATGTACCTTTTTGTTTTCTCCCACTTGACTTGCTTATTCAGTGCGCGGGCATATCTGTTTAGCATGTCACGTATTCTGCTAGCTGCAGCGCCGCTCTCTGCTGACAGGCCATCGGCTTCATGAGCGCCCCAATCCAACAAATCCCCCTCGACCATCAGCTTCCCCCCTCCCTCCCCCCTCCCCCCTGCTCCCTTCCCCCTCCCTCCCCCCTGCTCCCTCCTCCCCCCTCCCCCCTGCTCCCTTCCCCCCCCCCCCTGCTCCCTTCCCCCCCCCCCTCCCCCCTCCTCCCTCCCCCCTGCTCCCTCCCTCCCCCCCTGCTCCTCCCTCCCCCCCTCCTCCCTGCCCCTCCCCTCCCCCTTCCCCCCTCCCCTCCCTCACTTCCCCCTCCCCCCCGCTCCCTTCCCCCGCGGAGGTGTTCGTGCTTGTTCTCCCCCAGTGCGCGGGCGTCCAGTGGCCTCTCTCTGAGCTGGCGGCCTCACGCGCCTGCGCTCGGGCACACGCACGGGCCCGCCCTCGCAGGGTGATGCAGCGCGTCTCGGCGTGGCGTTGTGGAGGTCGATGAATGGAGAGGAAACGTGCTGTCAAATGATTTCCAGATGACTAAGAGATGTTTCAACCATGTTTCAAATCTGTTAAAAGCATGCTTGAAACGTTTTGATAACATGATTTACACATATTAAACACATGTTTATTTCAATGACCAGATTGTTAGAGTGTCCATTGTCATGGCATCCACAAGCGTTGCGCACACCCCCAGCACTGATCCGCGTGTGGTACTTTCTCGTGGACGCCCGAGCGACGGAAGACACTGCAGTCGACTGCGCAGACATTGGCGCGTCAGCTGCCCACGTGAGGTCGCCCGTGAGCGCCCTCGTTTCCAGCGCAGCGTGCCGCGCTTGCGGCCCGCGTCAGCCGCCGCGCAAGTTCGCTATGCCACCTCGAGTAAGACCTGTGTTGTTTCGTCGCGCATCTGAGTTCCGCGTCCTGAGGCCTTTTGTAAGCTGTTTGGTTCCGCTGTTTGTCAAGTGGCGTTCGTCGGTGCCGTGCTCTTCCGCTCAGGCTCCACATTGACCAGCGCCAGCGCGACCCTCCTGGGCGGCTCGGTTCCCAGCGCACCGCCTGGACTCGCAAGTAGCCCCCGAATGCCGGGACGTTGCAGGCCGTTTGGGCGATTCATGGTGATCCCACGTGCCCCTCATGGGCTCCAGAGCGGCCCCCTGAAGCTCACGGGGACTTCCCGCGGCCCCAGAGGTCCCGACCCCCTCCCCAGGAGTAGCTTCTGCGCCCCGGACCTGCTTTTGATGGCCTCCCGGGCCCGATGACGGGCCCGGGAGGCCGACACCGAGGAACTTCGCCTGGCTTGGAAAAATCATGCCGTCGCCCTCCAGGCCTGGCTCTCGCACGGCGTCGAGCGACGAGGGATGGAGGGAGGATGAGGAGGAGGCAGGAGGAAGAGGGAGTGAATGGGGGAGGCCAGGGGGAGAAGGCGCGAGGAGGAGCGGAGGGAGAAGGAGGAGGAGGAGGAGGAGGAGGAGGAGGGGGAGGAGGAGGAGGAGGAGGAGGAGGAGGAGAGGAAGGAGGAGGAGGAGGCGGAGGAGGAGGAGGAGGAGTCCTGAGTCCCCGCCCCCCCCTCCAGGCCTGGCTCCGGTACGGCACCCGCGGCCTGCTCGCCCGGCTCCCGCTCTCCGAGGCCCCCGGCGCCCAGGGGTCGCTCCTCTGCGCGCGCGCAGCCGCGGGCAAAGGGGTCGCTGGGAAGTGGGAGGAGCAAGAGGAGGAGGAGGAGGAGGAGGAGGAGGAGGAGGAAGAAGAAGAAGAGGAATATTAATAATAAGAAAACGAAGAAGACGAATAATAATAATAATATCAATAGTAAGAAGAATGTTACTATTACTAAGAAGACGAATAATAATATTAATACGAATAACAAGAATAATAAGAAGACGAATAAGACGACGAATACGAATGATAATAATAAAAATACTAAGAATAATAATAAGAAAAATAGTACGAATAATAATAATCATGATATGAAGAAGACGAGCAATAAGAAGACGAAGACTAATACGACAATGCTAATAATAAGAATAAGCATAATACTAATCATAATAATAAGAAGACGAGAAGGCGGAGGAGGAGGAGACGGAGGAGGAGGAGGAGGAAGAGGATGATGATGATTATGATGATGCTGATGATGATGATGCTGATGATGCTGATGATGATTGTGGTGCTGATGATGCTGATGATGGTACTGATGCTGATGCTAATGCTGATGCTGATGATGATGCTGATGATGATGCTGCTGATGATGATGCTGATGAGGATGATGATGCTGCTGCTGTTGATAATGATGATATTGATGATGCTGCTGCTGATGATGCTGATGATGCTGCTGATGATGATGCAGATGATGATGCTGCTGCTGCTGATGATGATGATGATGATGATGATGATGCTGATGATGATGCTGATGGTGATGATGATGATGATGATGAGGAGGAGGAGGAGGAGGAGGAGGAGGAGGGGGAGGAGGAGGAGGAGGAGTAGGACGAGGAGGAGGAGGAGAAGGAGGAGGATGATGAGGAGGAGGAGGAAGAGGATGCTGATGATGATTATGATGCTGATGCTGATGATGCTGATGATGCTGCTGCTGCTGATCATGATGATGATGAGGATGATGATAATGCTGCTGCTAATAATGATGATGATGTTGATGATGATGATGATTATGATGCTGCTGCTGCTGATGATGATTATGACGAGGAGGAGGAGGAGCGGGAGGAGGAGGAGGAGGAGGAAGAGGAGAAGGAGGAGGAGGAGGAGGAGGAGGAGGAGGAGGAGGAGGAGGAGAGGGTGGAGGAGGAGGAGGAGGGAAATGAGGAGGATGAGAGGAGGAGGAGGGAGGAGGAGGAGGAGAGGAGGAGGAGGGGAGGAGGAGGAGGAGGAGGAGGAGGAGGAGGAGGAGGAGGAAGGAGGAGGAGGAGGAGGAGGAGGAGGAGGAGGAGGAGGAGGAGGAGGAGGAGGAGGAGGAGGAGGAGGAGGAGGAGGAGGAGGAGGAGGAGGAGGAGGAGGAGGAGGAGGAGGAGGAGGAGGAGGAGGAGGAGGGGGAGGAGGAGGAGGAGGAGAGGAGGAGGAGGAGGAGGAGGAGAAGAAGGAGGAGGAGGAGGAGGAAGAGGAGGAGGAGGAGGAGGAGGAGGAGGAGCAGGAAGTCATCACCATCACCATCGCCATCATCATCATTCTTACTTTTTATTCTGTTTACTTAATACAGTTAATATTGTTATCAGTATCATCCTCAGCATCATCATCATATTGTACGTATCATCATCAACATCAACATCATCACCAGCATTATCATCACCAGCAGCAGCACCGTTATCACCATCAGTAGCATCATCACAATCATCATCACCATCACCTTCTGCATCACCATCATCAACAACACCATCCTCGTCCTCGTCCCTTATCCTCCGCCTCCCCTTCCTTCTCCTCCTCCTCTCGCTCCTTTCGTCCCTCCTCTCGTCCTCCTCTTGCTCCTCCTCCTCTTAATTCCCGTCGTTCCTCCTCTCGTCGTCCTCCTCCTCCTTCTCGTCCTAAACTTCCGCCTATTCCTCCTCATCCTCCTCTTCCTACTTCTCCTCCATTCCTTCTCCTTCTATGTAGCTTCTCCCTGTTGCACCCCGAGGCCAGTGTTTAGGGCGGGCCGGGCGTTTCGCCTGAGACTTCCTTGCCATGCATGATTCTGAAGCTTAAAAAGTGGCAACAGTTTCACAGATGGAGGGCGGATGGTTTTCAACATGTGGCTCTCGCTTTAGCGCCGCGCACATTCGTTCTAAACACTCGCAACAGTTTCACGGATTGAGGGCGGGTCATTTTCAAAGTGTGGCTCTCGCTTTAGCGCCGCGCACATTCGTTTTAACAAATTGTTGACGCTTCGCGAATCCCCACCAGCCCATCCAGAAACGATGCCCAGAGGAATTGCCTCGAGCAGGGAAGTGGGCAGCACACAGAGGAAGCCATTCTGAGACATCTTGGGATATCCTGAGCTATCTTGGAGGTCATCTTGGGCTCTCCCACCCCCCCGCAAGAGGCCAACATGTGGCTAAAACCTTAGTGCAATCAATGATGTGGCATTCTCGCCGAGGCCTCTTGGAGCATCTTGGGTGCCTCTGGGGGGTCTTTTGGGGCCTCTGAGGGGTCTCTTGGGAGCTTCTTGGGGGCATCCTGGGGGCCGCTTGGCGCTTCCTGGCCACCTCATGGGGCCCTCTTGGGGCACCCTTGGGGCCTCCTGGGCGCTTCCTGGGGCCATCTTGGGTGAGATCGATCACAGGAGGGGGGGTACTAATTAGCGTCCCCCCCTCAGGAGGCCCAAATGGGGCCAAACCCTAGTAAAACCAATGATTAGTGCTTCCTCGCCGAGGCCGTTTTGGACGCTCCGACGACTCGCGAAACCCTTTGTCCAGGTCCAGGGGAGGGGGTAGGGGGAGGGATAAACCCCTCCCCGAAGGGGAAGAAGGAGGGGTGGAAGAGGAAACGCTCTAAACCACCGACGCCCAGAGGGCTGGTGGGATTGCAAGAGTTTCCCGGATTGAGGGCGGGTCGTTTTCGAAATGTGGCTCGCTTCAGCGCCCCGCACATTTCGTTGTTAAGCACTTGCAAGAGCTTCACGGATTGAGGGTGGTTCTTTTTCCTTCCCAACATGTGGCTCTCGCCTGAGCGCCGCGCACATTCGCTTTAAACATTTGCAAGGGTTTCACGGGGAGAACAGGGGATTCTCAAGTGGCGGTCTGGAGGCCGACGCGTGCGACGATTTACCCCCGAGGGGCGCGAGAGTGAGCGAGGGAGAAGGAGGGAGTGAGAGATATGGAGGAGGCGGTGGAGAGAGAAAGAGAGAGAGAGAGAGGTATGCAGGAGAGAGAGAGAGAGAGAGAGGAAGGAGAAGCGAGGGAGAAACAGGCGAGAAAGGTAGCCCCTCCCCTCTCTCCTCCTCCCCTGTCTCCTCCCCCCCACCCACCTCCACCCCCCACCCCCCAACCCCCGAGCAGCACGCGGTGGCCCTTGGGGGTCAGCCTGTTTTTTTGTGTTGTTTTTTTTCTGCCCCCCCCCCCCCCCCAGGCCCCCCCCCCCAGCAAATTCCCATCCCCCCCCGCTCCTACCCCCCGCCCCCACCCACCCACTCCCCCCCCTTCCGCCCCGCGCGCGGCCTAATCTCTGGCAAGCGAGCGCACGCAAACTCACGCAACCTGCCAGGCCCGAAACAGAAACCAAAAACTTCTGTGGAGGGTTTCAGTCGGAGTCTCTCTGTGGAGGATTCAACAGGAATGCCATGCCAACGCAATGCCAGTGCCATGCCGGCGCTTTGCCTGCGCAAGGCCAACGCAAGGCTAAGGATCACCAGTGCTGTGCCAATTCTATGCGAGGTCCGTGCCACCGCATGCAAGCACAATGCCAGCACATGGCCAGTGCAATACCAATTCGGATTCAATGCCAGTTCAATGCGAACGCGATGAGTCGTTTCTCTTGTGCACTTCAACGGGGATCCTTCTGTGGACGGTTTCATTTGGAATCCTCCTGTAGAGGATTTCAATGAATCATTATGTCGAGGATTTCAACAGCAACCCTTCCTGTTTGGGAGTTCAATAGGAATCCTTATGTCAAGGATTTCAATGGCAATTTTCCGATGTAGGATTTCAATGGAAATCCTTTTGTGAAGGATTTCAATGGGAACCTTCTGCGGAGGATTCCAATCGGAATCGTTCTGCGGGCGTTTCCAGAAGAATCCTTGCGCGGAGGATTTCGTTGGAGTCCTTCTGTGGAGGGTTTCAACGGGAACTCTTCTTGTGTAGGATTTCAATAGCTTCCTGTGGAGGATTTCAAGAGAAATCCGTTTGTGGAGGCTTTCGATACGGATTTGCTGCATAATTTCAATATGAACGCAACGCCAAGACAATGCCAAGGCACTGACAGTGCTGTGCCAGCGCTTTGCCAGCGCCAAGGCCCATCGCAACGCCAAGGGGCACCAATGCTATGCTGCCTTCCTGTGGAGGTTTCCAGTAGGAATCATTATGCGGAGGGCTTTCAATCAAAATCTTTGTTTGTGGAGGGTTTCAATTGGAATACGATGCTAATGAATGCAAGTGCTACGCTAGCTCTTTGCCAGCGCAAGGCCAATTCAACGCCAAGGAACACCAACGCTATGCAATTCTACGCCATGCCAGTGCCAATGCGTCGTCAGCACCGTGTCAGTGCAACACCAACACTTGGCCAGTGCAATGTCAATCCCCTTTCAACGCTATCCAACGCGAAAGGAATGAACCGTGGTTTTTTTCCCATCGATGTTTTAATAGAAATCCGTATGTGGATGGTTGAATAGGTGTCCTGCTATGGGGGATTTCAGTTGGAGTCGTCCGAAGAGGAATGTAATAGGAATCCTTCGATGAAGGGCTTCAAGAGGAATGCCATGCAATTCGCGTCCAAGGCAATGCTTGTGCTATGCCAGCGCGTTGCCAGCGCAAGGCCATGCAATGCCAAAGGGGCACCAGTGAATCGTTGTTCCGTGTTTCAATAGAAATCCTCATGTGGACGATTGAACTAGGAATCCTGCTTTCGGGGCTTCAGCCAGAACCTTATGTGGAGGAGTTTCATTCGATTCCTGGTATGCAAGATTTCACTGGGAATGCATGCCACCGCAAT